GTTATTTTGAATTACATTTTTAAGATCAAAATAAAGGTACTTAGCATTGACTAAACTTTTAATATTTTAAACAACTAAATTTTACTAAATTATTTTAATTAATATGTCATAAGATAATAAATAATTTCTTGTATTAATAATTAAAATATATAATAAAATATTATTTTAATTTTAAGAAATCAATAAGATTATTTTACCACATATAGAATACAAAAAATATTCATAAACAGAAGTGCTAAGTATTTGACTAAAGAAATACATTATTATAATAAAGATTAATCATTTTATAAGTAAAATTTCACCAAATAGAAAGAAGGCTGAGCTCTGGAGAACTGAAAATTTGTATATATACTATTTAATAAAAATAAATGGTTTTAAAAACTTTAAAAATTAAAAAAAAAAATTTAAGGGTGGGCAACCCTTACCACTTACGGTTATGAAAAATATGTCTTAAACGATTTTCAGTCCTATTGAATGTAACTATGAAATTTCATAAAAATCAAGCCGTTTGGGAGTACTATAATCACAAACATCATCTCACAAGAATGTTGAAGAGAAAAAAATGGCAAAAATTTGATTTATTGATTTACATAAATAATACTAATAAATAAGAAAAACTATAAAGAAAAGTAATAATAATTTACCTTACCTTCAATTACCATTGGCCCGCACAGGTTTTCACGTGACAAATGTTATGTTTTGTAGATGTCGTAAAGTCAACTGTGTGAAAATATAAGATAAATTATTGCATTAGTAAATAAGAAAAGAAATACGAATATTTTGTTACATAAGATTAAATACACTGATGTGTTGTGTCCTGTGATTATTGTAGGTCACATCAACCAAATGATGCCATAGATCTCAATGGTAAATATAGATAATTTTTTATTAAAAAGATAATTATATATGCATCAACTGTATAATTATTAATAACTACTTTTTTCAAGTTGTTTTAATTACATTGAAAAATAATATTGGTCGACATTAGCTGTTCTTCTCTATATATTAAAAGTTAAATTTATCTTCATTCACCAAATGAAGATTATTTCATCGTTAAGAAATGTGTTAATGTTGTGGGAAACAAATCTCGATCGCCTTGTTATCATAACGAGAACGGACGCGCCTGTATTAATTTGAAAAATAATTTAGATAAAAATGTAATAATGCATCCGTCGCCTAAAATTTATGATCATCGAACGTTTTGAAATTGACTTTATTCAGTTATAACCGTGATTCATGGTAATTATTATAAATACAAGGCAAAACATTCAAAACGGCATTGTACAATGGGCATATATTCATAGATTTTGGTCATGCACAATTTCTCATAATTATGACTATACAAATTCATATTGAAGAATTAAATATGCAATGAAATCTATAATTATTTCAAAGATATTGTAAGTTGTTTGAACCTCAATATATGCAATTTTAATTTGTCTTCTTTTTAAATCACTTATTCTTTAATTTGGCGAATGATTTATGTTATTAATTTTCATTATGGTTATGTTTAATGTTTAGCCAAGAAAATAACAACAGAATAGAGAATCTACCAGGCCAAACTGTGGCCAAAATATTTATTGAAGACCACGTCGACAAACATTTCAAAAGAAAGCCTGTCCTCAATATTACTAAAAAATTTAAGACTTGTAAGAATAGATCGCTGATAAAACGATTCATAATTCATATCAGAAGATTTTTAGAATTTTTGAAATATTTTCAGGATTGTCAAAAAAAAATTAAATTTGAAATTGAATACGAGATTGCAAAAGATCGTGAAACCAAATTGATGCGATTTCTTAATTCATATTATTTTTAAAAATTACGGTCAACTCCTTCCTTTGCTCCTTCCTAATTATTGATACTATCTAACAGCTGGAATACTATTTAAAATTTTGTAGGCACAAAAGGAGCAAATCAACATGAATCTCATAATGCCCGCTCATAATTTTTACAAAATGTAGAAATTATAATTAAAGTGCAATAGCTCGGCTAATTTTCATATAAAAATTTATTTATCGAAATGAAGTTTAGCTGATATACGTATATGGATAGACAGACAGACTCTTGAACGTTTCATGGAACGTGCAACAATCTGCATGCGAACACAATCTTTTTTAGCAAAAATAAATTTCTTTTTTACATTTTTTTAGCCTTGTATGTGAAACAATCTCCTAAAAAAAATCACGAAATCTCGAATTCCACTTTTGTCAAATCAAAGTAAATTTCATCATCATTTACACCTAAATTTAACCCTTTTGCTGCGAATTTGATCCACCCAAGTATTTTTTACGTAACATATTTTAAAATGTAAGATACCAATCATTATAAAAAAAAACACATTTAAAAGTTAAAAATAACACTTTGGAGAAACTTAAATATTAAACTAGTGGGGTGGGTGGCATCGTGCCTTAAGGCAAATTGCTGGAACTTCCCGTACCGTAACGAAATATTCGAGGAATACTTAGCTCCTCGAAATGGCTGGGCCTACCTTTGCCAAAAACTAATAAACACTTCTCCCAATCATTACTAATTGAATGCTTTTTAGATCATTCAAATCGGATGCTCCGTTCTCTCAAAAAGTCGATTTCTATTTTCTGCACTCTTTGCTACGTATCCACGAAACGGCTGGACCTGCCTTTGCCAAAAACTAATCAGCTCTTTTCCCTATCGATAGGAATCGAATGTTTTTTAAACCATTCAAATCGGTTGATTCGAGCGCCCGAAAACGTGACTGGAAATTTGTATCCATACATACATACGCACACGCACACACACACACACACACACATCCATTTTTTCTGAGGTATGCCAAAATGTTCAGAAACCTTCAAAACGTCGATAAATGTAAAAATTTTCAATTCCGATTTTCGGCCCATTACAATAACTTACCCTACGGGAAGTTAAAAATAGTAAATTAGAATTCTCTATAATTTAACTCAAAATAAAGAATCTTGAAGCCAAGTAAGTGTTGACTTGGCTTCACTCGGTGTCGTGTATAGACGACACTCGTACACATCTTCAAGTGGATGTCGCCCATAAGGCGGCGCTAAAGACAATTTTCTAAACTAAAAAAACATACAACTCTTATAATTTTACGTTATCATAAAATAAAATAGTAGTTATGGTTATTATACAAGAGTAATTTAAAAGACTAATTAAGATATTTCATATATATCTGATATAATGAATAAAAATCATGAAGTTGAAAATTTTAAATCAATTTTATTGATAATTCTTTTATAAATATATATCTAAATCAGAGACATATTACAGAAACTTCTTTAAAATAAATACATTTAATATTTGATATAATAGTTGGTAATGTGAGCTTTTAAATTATACCAATATCTGAATCACATTATCAATTACAAGTATTGAATCACGCACAGCTATTCTTATCACATGAATAATGCAGAAAAATGATTAAAAATTAATCAAGAGAAAAATACATATAATTTCATGGAATCACAATTATTGAATCAATATCTTAACACTAACATAAAAACGTATATATTATTAAAATAATTATAAACTAGAATGTATATAGAAGCCGTCTGCAGCCAATTTTTTATTTTTTTTTCTGTTAAAAATCCAAGGTAATATAACTTTTTCATTATCAATTTATATACATATTTTATTAATTATCACAAAAGTACAACAGTACATCCTTCTGACAGTCGCAATTAAAGTTATTAGCTTCGGCTCGATGCATTTTTCTAATCATTAAATATTAAACACATCCATTCTTGCTTCATTAATCAAAACAGCCTTTGAATCTGTGTATCTCTCTCATCGGTCGTTTATAATAATTTATACTATTGCATTAGAAAACACGGACAATAATTTTATTATTGATTCTTAAAGGTCAAGGGACCCGCGCAACGAATCGGTATTGAGTTATTACGTATATGCATTTTATTACTCACACAACAATTAATGTTTTTTAAAAAGTGGTGATTGATTTCAATTCCAATTAACGTTCATTCATGGGAAATTTTAAAGCATTTTTCAAGGTTTGCGACGTCCGGTTAAATTGTATTCATATTAGTAAGAGTTCTTATTAGCTAATGCTTTTCCTTCGAAGAAAGGTCGCTCGAGAAGAATATGATGCGCCGAAATAATACATCTCAGAAATACCGAATAGCATTATGAAATATTATTAAAGAAACAATTATACAAATTCTAAGAGGTCGATTATCCAGATGTGGCTGTCAGTTGTAAATTCATTAAATATTTTATTTTAGCAAGCGGGTTATGATATAACCAATATTGTAAATTAATTCGAATTAATTAACCTTTCACCCCTAATATAAACATTCTCCGAAAAATCTAAATTTAACAACCGATTATACTTATTTTCAAATACTAAATTTAGAAACAAATAAATATAATTTTATTGTATTATAAATCTTGCGATTGCTTATGATCTATCACTGGAATTAATATCATTTGTGAGATTTTTAATCATTTCATCATCTTCAAGCAAAATCCAAACTATATATAAAAAGGGACTTTTAGTTCAGAAATTTAACAATCATAATTAATAATAGTTATCCAGAGATTTATACAGAAAAATAAAACAATAAAAATTATATGTACAAACATATGCTAAAAATTTTCGTGTTGTAGTCATACAAAGGAGTTTAAAAACTGGCACAGGTACGTCAACAATTAAATTAAAAACATAATTTGACAATATTTTCATTGTGTTATTTTTATCTTATCTAAAATGTTCACTGGTGTCACAGTATAAGAAATAATAGTTTGTACAATGATATATAATCAATTATTTTACTAAACAAATTAATTTATTTTACTCTGAGCTACCAAATAGATGTTGTGAAGGATGGCATCCACCAATAAAATAATTTCAATACTTTATTTAAGCTGCCTGATAACTATTATTTCGGTTTTAATTATAAAAAATGCAAATAGATATGTAAAAGCATATGAGAAAATCTAATTTAATTAAAGTAATACTGAAATGAGCTACCGGTTTAAAAGTTATTTAGTAGATTCAAAATAAAATAACGTTATTAAAATATAACGAAACATTGTACTGATGAGCATAAAAATTATGAAAGATAACATTATGCATAAGGAGTTGAACAAACATTATTAACAAAATAACATAAATGCAACTTCCATAACGTTATCATTTATTTTAAAGTTCATTTTAGCAACTACGTCTGGGGTAAGAGGATAGGAATAATTAGGTCCTCCATGTTGGGAAGTACTAAATTTTTAACAATTTCTTGACAAATTTTTTTCTCTATCCAGTTCGTCACGTACGTGAAATTTACATTTCTCTCACCGAATGCTGGATGAACAGTCAGCCAAATGCGTGGGGGTTTCCGAAAACTACGATAAAAAAAATCTTAAAAATCGAATAGAATCCTGATTTTTATGATCAATATAAAATTTTAAAACAAATTTAAAAGAATTCTATAATATTGTGTTACTTGTAACATATTAATTTTTTTTGTTTGTTTTTCATTTCAGTTGTAAATGTAGACGAATGTTGAATGACCGTTTAAGTGATATTCAACTCATAAATGCATGTTTGTATGTATGCATGTATAATATAAATAATTGCGCTAATTTCTATTTATGTAATTAACCGTTCCTATTTCCTGTTTTGAGTGGCATGTAAAAACAGTATGAGTAAAGTTTTATAATTCTTATAATTATATTTATATTATACTTACATTAGTAACATCATTACATTATTCGAAAATGCACATTAAATTTGCAGAAGAGCAAACAAATAACACAAAAAAATTAAAATGAAAAGCATACAAATATACACCTGTTAAATTTATAAGAAACTTAATTTGTAAATAGATATTTACTCTGAAAATTGCCCAAAAAGACTTTATATATAAATATTAAGACAAAATTAATTTAAGATTTTTTTATATTAGTCATAGACGGAAATGAATGACTTTTTATTGACAACAATAGAAATAGCAGGCTGTATTAAAATGTAATATTCTGTATACTTGTGAATTAGCCTCCATCAAATGCATAAAAAAAATATTGATTTAAATAAGAATAGAAATAAAGTTTATAAAATCAGATGTTCCTAAGCGTATGAATAAAAAAAATATTTTTAATTTACTGTTACTACGTAATTAAATAATACAAAAAGTGTGTTTGTGAAAGCATTATTTATAAATAATATTAATTTCTCAATTTATTTTTTTTTATTTTTTTTTCAAAAATTTCAAAATTTATAAATATGTAAGTAAATATGAAAATTAATAAATACTCACCCAAACCACAATCTATCCGAAGGCGGATTTGGAATATTCAGAACTAATTCCCCAATTAGTCCACGAAAATCTACTTGTAAACGTAACTGACTATTGCTTACAGCAACTAAAGCCTTTTTCACGAATTTATTTTCTGTTGCCTGTAATTTTTTTAAAAAAAAAAAAATGAGTTTTATAAAATAAGTTATAAAAGAACAATGTATAGTAGAATGTCACTAATCCGACACCTCCACTAATTCAACACCCTCGCAACCAAAGCCCTCGGCATTTCTTTTTTAAATTTTTTTGCTATTTCTAATATTGTATATTAAAAATTATGACTTTTCCATTATAATCCAGTAATCTGACCCCTCTAGTTTATATATATATATATATATATATATATATATATATTAACAAAGTCTAATAATATATATATATATATATATATATATATATATATATATTGTTTCACATTGTGACATATACTTGAAATGTTAATTTGCAGCCAATCGTCAAAATAAAAGAACAATAAATAATAATGTATTTATATGTTTCGACACGGTATGTTATTAAACTATAAAAGAAAATTACTGAACATACCGTGTCATAACATATAAATAAATAGATCATTATTTATTGTTCTTTTACTTCAACGATTGGATGCAAATTAACATTTCTATATAAAAACTTGATCAAATATTCATCATACGAAAAACTTTAGTACATTTATTCATTACAAATAGCTTAAAAATTCAACAATAATAATACTTAATTTTGACTTGCCTGTTGGAAAAACTTTGAGGCAGCAACTTGATCAACAACTTTTAAAAAGCTTTTGTTATTTTGCTTTCTGGGTGTTGGGGATATAGAACCTAATGAAAATCTAATAACAAAAAAAAAAATGTAAACTCTTTTCCAGTAATAGAAGTAATACAAACAATATTTACGTTTTATCTGAATTTGTATCTTGAACTTGATCATCAGATGTTGAACTATCTGCACTATCTTCTAGATCACTATTGTAAATTGCAGATGCTTTCTGATTTTGAAACTATTGAATAAACATATAAAACAATTAAAAATATATAATAAATAATAACCAAACTCTAATCAATTTTATGTTACTTTAGAACTTTGACATGGATCATTAGTATCCACAGTGTCTGCTGCATTAATTTTTTTTAACTTCATGAGATTTAATTTTGTAGATAAGACTAGAGTGACTAGACCTTCATACGTGACATCTAAATCAACCCATAAACCTCTTTCATTCATAACGGGCTTAGAAGCACGGTGTATCTTTGGTGGTGTTTCGCCTAAACTAAGTTCTGAACATTCCAGCTCATCTATATAATAAGGCAACTAAAAAAAAAACACAATCATTAGAAATTTATATTTTGCCTAATATGAACTAAATATAGATATATGAAATCAAATAATCAAATTCAATGTTATGTATCCAAACTGCATTTAATTAAGGAAGATTCAATTATTTCAATATAATAATATTCACAGATTCATATTTGTTCAATCTGTAAAACATAATTAATTTGAAAATACTTCTAAATATTTGATACCTTAATTGTAGAAAGTTTTTTTTGGATTCGTTCTTGAATCTTCATAATCCACCCAGGATCATTTAAAATACCCAAAAGCACTCTTCCAGCTAATACATTAAACCAGAGAACATCTTTAGATATCGATAGATTAAAATCTCTGCTAATTTCACTTGTATCATCTTTATGGTCTCCCTAAAATCAAAATATCGTAAATATTAAGGCTGCAGATAATAATTTTAATGCATGAATTATGACATCATAACATATAAACAAAATGGAACTTTTATATGTAATTATAAATATAAATCTAGAATTGGAAGATAATTTTCTTAAAATAATTTACAAATATAAGAATAAGTTCTTATTACCTTGCAATTCTAGATTATCATTAAATTATATGCAATTAAATAAATTATTATATTATTAAATAAATATTCTAATCTTATCAATTAGAATCTCACATGTAGAAAATAACCCATGTATTTCAAATATTGTTGGTCACCCATTAGAGATACATTGTTTTTGGATGCATCTTCTGCTATAACATTCTCAAAGTCACCAGATTTACTATTTGTAGATATAGAATCCACATCACTGGTTCCGATATTGTTATTTTGACTACTTTCTTTCTTTTCTATTTGCTTTGTTTCATCTTGGCTTGACTCACTTCCTGATGCTCGATCATCTGAACACTAAAGAGAGCACAAATACTATGACTAAGCAGTGGTATTGGTAAATCTAATAGCAGCAATTAAATATGGTAAATATAAGCAAGGTTTTCTCATTATGGTTGCACAAAATAAAGTTGAAAATTTTTCAATGAAATTAATTAACAACTTTTTTACAAATCAGCCAAAAATTTTACAAACAATCCATAATTATTAATTTATTAACTACTAGTACAAGTTTAAAATATTAGAAGCAAATAACTTGATTGATATTAACAGTATGAACGTCTTATTTTTTAGTAAAGGCTAAAATTAGTGCAAAAAACGAGTATTTGATAGGTGTACATAATTTGTAGATATGTTTGAAAATGCATATGCATAAAATGCACTTTTTTCATAAATTTGTTATTTTCATAATTTATTTAAATTCTGATCAGACTAGATAAACTTTTCAGAACATGAATTTAAATTTGAATATATGCATACTTTTTGACACAAATAAATTAATGTATACATATCTTATTATATGTCTTGATCTCAAATATTAAATACAATAACAATTTACCTTGACATTTGATTCCTTATCATTATTTTTCACAGAAAGTAATTTTATTGTGGAGAGTATTCGCAAATACCTGAAAAGAAAATAATTCATTAAAATTTAATAAATCACATTTTCAATGCTATTGATAAAGCATTAGTGATAAAGATGAAAACATTTCTAGTTACAAACCAGTCATATTTCTCTCGATTGGCACGAGCAAATAACAACAGCCTTTGTCTATCTTCTTTTAAATGTGAATTATCTGAATTGGTTTCTATATCTTCACCCTATTGAAAATAATAAAATGTGAAAAACATACAATAAAAATACAAAAACTAATTCTATTTAACTCACTAAAGATGACACTGAATTTCTAGCACATGTATTTTCTTCATAATCTTCAACATCCTATAATTGAAAGAATAGTTGAATAAGTTAATTTAGTTATTTTCTAATAAAAATCTTAATTATTCATTATAAATTATTACTTTAAATTCATCTTCTTGTGTGTTATCATGAAAGGTATTAGTTGTTGTAGAATCACTGCAGTCATCTGCAACAATAGAATAAATTTTATAAAACAGATCTTTTAACATAAATTAAAATCTTGTTCTACCTTTCTCTAAATTAGTTATAGTATTATCCAATGAAAAATCTTCGTTAGTAAAAACATCATCATTCTTTACAGTTGTGTTCTCAATTTCTATACATATAGGATATTTTTTGCTCCAATGTCTGAAAGCATATATTTTTGTTGATATTTAACAAAACTTAGTATGGGATATATATATATATATATATATATATATATATATATACATACATATATATACATACCGAATTTTTGCTAGCCCATCAGGAAGAAGAGACACTTTCGCATTATTTAAATTATAAACTACACTTGATGTTATGTTTAACTTCAATTCAGGCTCATTATAAGTTGTTCGTCTAGCTACATGATTTTTAGTGTAATATACAATCAAATGTTTACCTAAAAATCGCAATTAATAAAGTTTTGTGGAAACTGAGAAAGATGCTGCATTATTTGTGATAGTTACCTTTGATCTTTACATATACTGGAATAGTATCTGATAAATGGTAGGTTTCTGGGTCGTAAGAAAAGTGAGGATATAGATTAATCCAACCCTTTAAATTTGAACAAAAATAATATAAATAATGATATGAAAAATTTAATTCTAAACAATAAATGATAACAAAGCATAAACATAATTGTAGAATAATTTCTGAACAGAAAATATTTTTTTATGTTTTATCATAAACAAATAAAATGATTATGATATGAAGTTGAATTTATTTATTGTATTTATCATAGATTAAAGTTTAGTGACTGATAATCTCAAAATTTACTTAAAATATGTTTGTAGTTTTAAAACTACAAAATATTACTTAAATATTATGTTTAAGCGTTATAACAACTCATTCATAAGTTGATTAGATTTTATTAATTTGCAAAGTATTTTAGTAAATAAACAGTATATTTGAAATATGATCTATACTGAAATAGAGGCATGATACAAAAATACAAACCTCATATGTTTTTGGCACTTGATATTCTTCAACTGAAGGAACTTCCAGAATGTTCATTTCATTATATTTTGGCAAAATAAATTCAGTCTTCTCAGGACCACTTCCTTGTATATAAAGTTTCTTTTTAATGAAATCTATAACTTTTTTGAAAATCATATTCGTACAAATAGGAATCATTATACCAATGATTAATGTAATAAAATATAATGGAGCACCAAAAAATGCACTAATAATTATCAAAGATAATAATATCATAAGAAAAATACTGGTATAATTCCATGAATATTGAGTTCTTGAATTATTTACTACACTAGAATGGTTTGAAGAAATATTTGAAATTAAATTTGTTGATGCAGTTTGACCTAAAATGGGATGAATTTCATCCAATGCATCGATTGCTGGTTCAATATCCTCTGGTTCATCATCATCATCACTTTTTGATTCTTTTCTGTTTAACACAACATTTATATTATCATCTGATTTGTCTTGAGACGGCTGTAACTTCTCTGGGAAGATAGTTTGAACGGAGTTCTCATCATCACTACCAGAATGATTTGTTGCATTTTTAAATGATACAGCTGGACTCTGTATAACTTCATTCTTATGAATTAGCTTTTTAAATCTCTTTCGAAATAAACTTTCTGAATAAGATTTATTCTGTGGTGAAGTTCTACCCTGATCCCAACTTGTCGACTCAATCTGCTTTGAAAAATATTCTTTGAGTGCAGATCTCTTTTTCTTCTGTTTGTGGGTCTTAGATGAATCTGAGGCATCTGAATGAAGTGATACCTCAGAATCATCTGAATCATTTGGAGATTGGAAAGACATTTGTTGCGCTAAAATAAATCAACACAAACTATTTTATGTGAACATAACACACTTTAAACTAAAACGCGAAACACGATAAGAAAAACTATATCTACATCAAATAATGATTCATGCTTTGCTGTCAAAACAATGTCTAGATAATGTTAATAACAAACACAAATATTTATCAGCATAATTATTTATAAGTTTCGATTGACAGTTGTCATGTCAAATATAATTTTTAGTATAAATCGTTGGTATTCAAAATTCAACGTTTACAACATAAGCTGTAGTTACTAAAATCTTATGTAGATTTATATTTTAAATTCACACGTAAAATTAAAAATGAAAGCAATAAAAATTTCAAATTTGAGATGCAGGTACTATTCACGCTATTCACATTTTGGCCAAATATGATCTGTCAAATTGACAGCTTAACTCAATTTATTATTATGTAGTTGGTAAACTTCGCGCTAAACATCAAAATTATTATACACATTATTTTGGTAACGTCAATTGATGAAAATATTTGATTTTAGACATTTCGTTGATCAAAGAAATTTTTATTATGGTGCGCACAAGAGGTGGACCTACTAAAGGTATATGCTCAAAATTTATATGTGCTATGTTTATTAATTGCCGATATTATAGCTTGTAATCATAAAAATATTTGTGCCATTCAGTAAGTGCCGGTAAGGCCCCAGGTAAAAGTAGCAGGACGGTCGCAGTGGTTTCAGTAGGAGAATCAAGAGGTGGTTCTTCTGGTGAGTAGTAATGTTTGTGATAGAATGTTATAATACTACAAAATTATATATTTTTGTATTTCCTGTGAAAAGGCTCAAAACTTAATCAATCTTTTGGCAATTCATATCATCCCCGTGAAACACCTAGTTGGCAAAAGCCTATAAATAGTTTTTTCCAAAATGGAGGAAAACCAAACGTAGATAATAATTCATTAATGACAAAACTTGAAGAAGACAAGGAAAATGTACCTGGCTGTTCAGCTCAAACTATGAAAGATGAAGCAGAAGCAACAGACAGCATAAATGAAAAGTCCGATTTATAAAAACAAATTCCAAACTAAATTATAAAATAAATACTAATTGCGATATAGGGTCATACTTATAAGCTTTTATTTGGTAACAAAATATTTTATAGCTCAAGAAATTTAATGGAATGCATTTAATGCATATAACTTTAGCTATTAGTTCTTTTTTAAATATAGTTTTTTAAACAAAATGTATAAATATTGAATGTATGTGTGAAACAACAAATGTAAGGATTTTGCAGAAAGGATTATATTCATATGTAATTAATTTTTCTTAAACGTGTTATATAAAGTTTCTAGATTGAAATCAATTATTGTTGGAATCTGTTAATAAATCCTACTATGAATGCATTGTATTTGAAATTTAATATGATTTATAATAAATCATTTAAGTGAATAGTTCTATGTGAGAATAATGTGCAGTATGTTTGCTGAAGTGTACAATAATAGAATAATAATATTACAAGTATGAAAAAGATATTTTAATATTCATCTTACTTTTGTTTGTTAATGTTCTAAAAGTTGTTTCTAATAAATAAATTGTAATAATGTACATGCCTCTTTATTTAAAACAATACTACTATTCTAACCAAAATTACGCTATACAGTATTCTTCACTTGATTCTATTTGACCCACTTTCCATGGGCCAAAATTCTTGGGTGTTTGTTTCTTCAACTTTGTTTCTAGGCAAAGTATGAATAAAATATTATATATATAAATAAAATAGATATATATATATATAGTTGTCGATAGACATTCGCATAATCAAATGTATGAAAAATGTGTATGTATTTATTAGAAATAACAAATGCATACATAGATATTAGAAATCAACACATTCTTATGTATGTATATACATATACTAAACTGCAGCATTAATTATGCAAAAATTCGAATTGTAGGTATATATACAGTAGGCCCTCGCTTTACACGGCACTCTGGGTACACGGTTCCCATACTACACGGAGCAAAAATCCGACATCCCTCCGACTACACGGACTTCTTATTACACGGTATTTGGTCAACAGCCCATAAGTTCGTTGTGCAAAAGGGTATTGATGTAAATTTTGTTATCGACTTTTATCTTTTAGACATGCCTGATTGTATAATAGTCGCCTAAGAACACGTTTGAGCTGACTACTGCGTCGCGCCAATTTTTGAATAAGGTGTCAATGTCCTACATGTCATTTCGTCCGTATTTCTCCTACTTCAAGTTGTATTTCTTGGTCTCCATACAACGCGATAAAAATGATGCGATTTGTACCAACTGGTGCGTCCACACCTAACGAACGAACATAAAAGAACGAACCAGAACGAACGGCAACAGCATAGTGTGGACGCCACGACGATCACGAACGAACATAAACAAACATGGCGAGCAATGTTCCGCAACTTGTCGGTACATCAAAGGGAATTGTTCGTTCATGTTTGAACTCGTATGTGCAGTGTGGACGTCTCAACGAACGCAAACGAACATTTTTGTTTTAATAATTTTAATAATTTAATAATAATTTTTTAATAATTTAATAATAATGTTAATAATTTAATAATATTTACTTTTAATTATTGTGTACAGTTTGAAAATTTTAATAATATTTACTTTTAATTATTGTGTACAGTTTGAAAATTTTGAATAAATTATGGAATGGTCAAATGACGTAATTTCATCATTCATAAATGAAATAGAAAAGTTTCCTATAATATGGGAGACTAAAGACCCTTTTTATAAAAATATTAGAAAAAAAAAACGATGCTTGGGAAAGTGTAGGCAAAACATTTGGGATGTCAGAAGCTGCAGTAAAGAAGTAATTGCAGTCTTTACAAGTAAATATTAAACTTGCTATCATACATAGACATTCAACATATATGTTGAGGATGAGAGTATGAAAATTGAGTATAGTTAGCTCAAGTCTGAAATGTTCAGCTTGCTCCGAATATGAATGCTGAGGAAAGAAAACGACTCAAAATATAAATATTAAATACAAAAACTGAGTGAAATTAATTGAATAATTTATTTACAGTATATTTACAAAATATACACGAACAAAAATCACACAAAAACCAGTGAAAATGCCGTATGATTAAAGCTTATATCCATATAAATAATAAAACTGACATTTCACGGAACATCTACGAACAACGAAAATTCAAGCGCTAACTGCTTTTAAGCGCTTGTTCAAGTTCGTTTGGAATTTTTCGCGTTCGTTCGTGTTCCTGTTCGTTCTTCTTTGTATTTTCTTGTTCGACATGTTCGTTCGTGTTCGTTCGTTAGGTGTGGACGCACCTTAAGCGCTTGTTCAAGTTCGTTTGGAATTTTTCGCGTTCGTTCGTGTTCCTGTTCGTTCTTCTTTGTATTTTCTTGTTCGACATGTTCGTTCGTGTTCGTTCGTTAGGTGTGGACGCACCTTGAGTCTCTCATAGCACGGTGTCCATACTGCACTAGGTAAAGGTGCGTCCACACCTAACGAACGAACACGAACGAACATAAAAGAACGTACCAGAACGAACGGCAACAGCATAGTGTGGACGCCACGACGATCACGAACGAACATAAACAAACATGGCGAGCAATGTTCCGCAACTTGTCGGTACATCAAAGGAAATTGTTCGTTCATGTTTGAACTCGTATGTGCAGTGTGGATGCTACCATGAATGTAGACAAACATTTTTCTTTTTTGATGTAAAAATGTGCAGTCCTGCATTAGTTTTTGTAGTGTTTATAATAAGATATTGATGTTATTGACAAATTTTGTAAATTTGATGACTTTAAATAATTTTGCTCTTTCTCGCCACTTTAAATAATAAATCTGACGTTTCACGGTACATCCTCGAACAAAAAGATTCAAGCCCTCACTGCTTTGAGGCGTTTGTTTGGAATTTTTTGCGTTCGTTCGTGTTCCTGTTCGTTCTTCTTTGTATTTTTTTGTTCGACATGTTCGTTCGTGTTCGTTCGTTAGGTGTGGACGCACCTTAAGGTTCCATAGAACGCACTACGAATTAGCCTGAATTGTATGTTAAATACGAGTTTCTTATAGCACGGTTCCTATACTGCACGGTACGCACTTGCCGCGTAAAGCGAGGGTTTACTGTACATATAAATTGGTCGCCGGATAAACGAGTTTGTACTATATATAACTTTTTCAAAAAAAAACGGCCCCGCCGATGTTTTTCAAAAACTAATCAGCACTATATCGAATGTATTTTTAATTTTTAAAATCGGTTAAAAATGTTTTCAACTGGAAACTACAGCTTATAATTAACGTATTTTAAATGAAAATAAAATTTGTTCCTAAGTACTTTTAAAAAAAAATTGTTCAAGTGATTTGAAAAGCAGCCTATTTGAACATGGTTTATCGGTTGAGGGAAACGATATCGTGTATCAGTAGCGTGACCTGATGCTTAACCTAAATTGACAGCTCAAATTATTGTTGTTATTAAGATGGTGCTAATGTGGATTATTTTTATTAAGTTTGCAGCCCTTCTTGTTTGATTGCACAAAGCTGTCATAAAGTCATCAAAGTTTGTACTGAATGAATTTCGGTGACGTGTAAGAGGATTGACATTTGTATAAAATATTTAAATATGAGTTCTTTTAAAAGAGATAAAAAAGAAGAAAGAAGATGGTTGGCAGTCCTATTATTTTGTTCATTTTATATGCATTCTTCTATTTCTATAATTTTTGAGGGGAGGTAATCCGTTTCAAAATATTGAAAAAACTACAGTTTTGCAGGAGGCTAGAACTTTTAATGATACCCCAGTAAATCCAAGAAATGTACCCATATTCTTACACAAATCTTATATTTATTAAATCAGGTATTCGTTTCATTCTAATTCATTATTCCAAATTGTTCAAAAAATAAAATATTCACAAAATTATTTATAATTTTCAGGGAGAGCAATTGGGAGCTACAGAAGCTACAGAAACATTTTTTGCAATGACTAAACTTTTCCAGTCTCGTGATGTAGTCTTGAGAAGAATGGTATATCTTGGGATAAAGGTGCTCAAAATATTAAATGTGTATTGCTTATAACCATACAAAAATTGAGACAATTACATATTAATTTTAAATTTAATAGGAGCTCAGTACATTAGCTGATGATGTCATTATTGTAACAAGTTCTTTAACCAAAGATATGACTGGTAAAGAAGATTTATATAGAGCTGCAGCAATTAGAGCCTTATGTAGTATAACCGATGTAAGTATTTGTCATCGAAACATTTAACCCGTGTACACTATCACTGTCATGATCACAAATATCAGTTTTTTTTAATTAAACACATGTTATTGGTTGTAATATTATACAAATGTTCTATACTTGATTCATGGAAATAAAAGTGATTCAGGTTGATGATAGATCTTGTAATTTAATGCATTTTAATTGTGTAAATCTGATCATAATGTTATTCTTAATGATTATTTATTGATTCATTAGCCACTCTAAATTTTATATTATAGAGTGAGTGATTCAATAAAATAATATTGCAATATTTGGATGATTTTGTTAACTTTGTTTTACTCATTGTATAACCAATAAGAGCATCTTTTATCTTTATAAAAATAATTTGATTATATTACAACTCTATAACATTTAGTTTTATCATGCTTATTGAAAGTGCTATACTCTTTAAATAAATATTTTTCAAATATTTTAGGGTATGATGTTGCAATCAATTGAGCGTTACATGAAACAATGTATTGTAGACCGTAATCCAGCTGTTAGTAGTGCAGCTTTAGTTAGTTCTTTTGCACTTGGCCCAAATCATCAGCTTGGAGAAGTTGTGAAAAGATGGGCCAATGAAGTTCAAGAGGCATGAACAGTGATAAGTAATTTTATACATACAGTCATGTGTGCATATTATCCTCATATATATTAAGAACTTTATAATTCTATTAGCATTATGGTACAATATCACGCTTTGGGCCTTCTATATCACATAAGAAAAACAGATCGCCTTGCCGTTTCAAAATTAGTTGGAAAACTTACAAGATCCTCTATGAAGTCTCCATATGCCGTTTGTATGTTGGTAAGTTCTTTTTTAATTTGATTTTCAATATAATTTGTATATATAATAAAATGTATTTTGTTTGTTACAAGATTACAATTATTTTCAGATACGTATTGCTTGCAAATTACTTGAGGAAGAGGTGGTACAAATAATGATTCTCCATTACTTAATTGTCAAGCATGCCTTAGACATAAAAGTGAGATGGTAA